CCCCCAAAACCCCAAAACCCCAAAACCCCATTAAGGATAATCATTTTAAAAATGGAGGAATATAATAAGGCTCCTGATATGAATGCCAAGTTCAGGAATTCTAGGTACAACCAATCACCTGTGAACCCTTCCAATGGAAGTTTGATATCAGGCCTGACAAGTATGAGTTATTCTCCAAGTAACGTTGCTAGCTCTACAACTCATTCTAACTATCTGAAGCAATTTATGAAGAATAACGAGAACAAAGGGCAATATACTGAAAATCAAGAACAAAACCCAGCCATTAATATTGACAACCAGAAGGAGGGAATCTTTTCAAAATTTATGTATGGGAACCCAGAAATGATAAATCATATTAAAACAAACACAAGAACAGAAGCTATCAACGAATTAAACAAAGTGTATAAGGACTCTGAAGACGATACTGACGAAATCATCAATATAGAAGTTAAGAATAATCATGCTTCTTATCCTAATAATTACGAGGAGGCTGAGGAAAACTATCATTCTTATAAACCAGTCCAGAATGGAGAGAATAGGAGATATCAAGATAACTATCTGCATGAAGGCCAGGATACAATCACCGGACTTTCAGAAATCAAACAGAATACAATCAACCAAAGCGAGCTTAATTTTGGCCAGTTTGGAGGAACCCTAGCTTCTTTAGTTAATGTAATGAATGAAGTTAAACAAGAGACAGGAAAAGAAACATATTGACTTGAAAGAGAGAGGATGCATAATGCTGATCCCCTTCATTTTCAAGATGAAAAGCCATACTTCGGAGCACCTACATCACAAATTAATAAAGCTAAAGCTCCCACTTTTTATGAGAAAGATGATTCTAACAAAGAAATAGAACAAGAAGGAGATTATAGAGAGAAACATATAAATCACACGCATTCTAGAAAATCATTAGAAGAGAATAAGAGTATTGGGATGGGTAGTCAGATAGCTTCAAAGAAAAATCTTGACCTTGATGAGGAAATTATAGATCCAGATGAAAACACTGAGAGTCCTAATCCTAGCCAGAAGAACTACAATACAGAGTTATTGCCTATTGATGAGGAGGTTCCCTTCTCTACTAAAAATGTAAGTATGGATTAACCTCCTTTTATTAGAACATAAGTCTAAATTTATCTTAGGCAGATTCAAGATCAGCAAATGGAAATCCTCCGAAGGTAGGGTTCAAGTCTCCAAGAGGTCCCAAGTATAGTCCATATTATTCATTAGCGAGTCATTCTGATAGCTTGAATGAAACATTTTTACTGTGATTTCTGATGACACCAAGGCTCTTGAGACTTTATACTGATAATGAGATCACTCTTCCTTACATTTTTCGGCTTTCTCCAGGCCCGAGAATGCAGAAAATGTTTATTGACCACTACATATTCGAATTCCTTGAGCCTGAATCTCTTACTCCAGTAGGGTCGATAGACTTACTAGATATCAAAGAGGTATTGCCAGAGGATAAAATTACCCGTAATAAGCTTCTTGAGATAGAAAATGACCCAACCTCTAATATTTTCCTGATTGAGACTAACACTAATTTGGATTGATCCTATTACATTGCGGGACTTAAACTGTACTCTGAGAAAGTTCAACCAAAGAAAAAAAGCGATGGTGTATCAGATAAGAGTCTGAAAATATATTTGTTATTCAAATCGATTGAGCACTCGAATAGCAGCTAAATAGATCCCAGTGTGCTCCCCCATGAAGTTATACTTATATATTTTTTAAATGAACAGGTTTTCAATCCTCGGCGTAACGAAAGGGGTTTTGGGGTTTTGGGGTTTTGGGGTTTTGGGG